GTTTAGAGAAATACTATCGGTTGAAATTTAAGTCTGTCACTTGTGTACATTACTCAGTTGGTTGTAAGTCTTGTAAACATTTACTCTGTCGATTGGTATATCACTCTGTCAGCTGTACGCACTACTCTGTCAGTTGCAAACATTCACTCTGTCGCCAGGTTGAACGCCATCTGTCGGTTGTAAACATTTACTTTGTCCGTTGTACAAACTACTCTGCCAGTTATGTACATTATTTACTCGGTCAGTTGTAAACATTTGCTACTCTCTGTAAACATTTCACTCTGTCAGTTGTGCGCACTACTCTGACGGTTGTAAACTTGTTCAAACTACTCTGTCAGTTGTGCACATTACTTACTCAGTCAGTTGTAAACATTTACTCTGTCGGTTGTGTAAACTCTGTCAGTTGTGCACATTACGTACACGGTAGGTTGTAAACATTTACTCTCATATTAAAAATGGGTTTAGGCAGACCAGCACGACTCCTGCTGTGCGCCCATTGTGTCTTTCAAAGCCTTTTTAAAGTTATGCTTTAACAAGCATATCTTTTAACAATTTTCCTTTTCTATAAGAGATCAAGGGAGGCTCCCTGAATATCTCTCTGGGCAACGGCTGGTTTTGTATTAAATGCCATTTGTCCATAAGTATGTTTTTCAAGTTTGGTATAATGACGGTTGAAATTGTGTGACAAAGGGTAGAATCTTTTTGTGCGTTTCCAATTTATGTTTGAGAGCTTCCTTCCTACCTTTTGTTTCGGGCATCCTCTAGAGATAAGGCGTGTTTTAAATTTTCTAACGTTCCCCTCAAACATAGCTTTTGAAGAGTTTTTCCTAGGAAGCCTGAGAGCTTCTCCTTTGCCAAAACCTTTGTTAAACGCACTCTGGGTGACAGCTGTTAGTGTGGCACTGAAATGTTTCAGTACAAGGCTTAAAATGTGTACGCACATCGAGGATTCTTTCTTTCTCGAACAGTTCTTCCTTTGTAGAGGAGGTGAAAGGGGTTATTGCGTGATACGGGATTAAGTGCTTTTAATTTCGTGAAAAGCGAAAATACAAACGAAAATTCGGGAACCGTGAGTGGTTTACTTGTCGTGATACGTAAACTTTAAATTTTTTTATGCGATATTCGTGACTTTCAACAATTTTCTTTTCGTGAAAACGGAGTTTTAGCTGAAAACAAATTTTGCAGCGAAGCCAGTGGACCTTCAAATGAACATTTTTAAAGGTCTAAAAAGACTTACTTAAGGCCGGTTATTTAAACGGAGTTTAGCCAGTGTTTAACAAACCGTGTTCTAAGCCATTTTCAATTTTCTAAACGCCTTTATCGTAACACCGGTTATTGTGAACGTTTCACGGCAGTAACGGGGTAGTCTCTTCCGAGGAGAGGTCCAGGTACATCTACTTTATGGAAGATAAATTATTGCATGCAATGTCTAAGTTAGAATATGTGTAGTTCCATGTTCTCACTGAAGTTGTCTGTATATTCTAAGTAACAGCGAAAATAGACGGATCAGAGAATGCGTCAAATGGTCGCTTACAAGAGTTTAAAAACAATGGAACATTACTAATCGTCAGGCCCAAAGGAGATGGTCGTTTACCAGAGGTTCAAACTGTAAGGCTTTGACGGGGAAAAATTGGTGTTTTGGCGGTCGCTTAATTATCGGAAGTGATCGCTTACGAGAAGTGGTCGCACATGGAGTTTCGACTGTACTCGTGGCGGAAAACGGTCAAAGTCAAGTTTGAGACAAGGAAAGTCAAATGACGTTCCTTTTGAGTATTATTATCAGTCAGCATTAGTTTACCTTCACCTACATTTCATTGTATGTTTACCTGCCTCCCTTACTTCTCTGCACTAGTTGTGCGGGAGGCACATGAAGCAAAACATCGGCTCTACTATTAAACGTTAATTACTGTAATAACTCATCATTAACTCTGCAGACAGCGGCATTCTGAACAGGTCCTGTCATGCACTGTCCTTTTACGTGGGACATTTCCGTGAAACGTGAGCGCGGGATTTTAATCCTCGTGATGCGTTATTTCTACACTTTAATATCAGTGCAGATAAAATGGGGGCGGGAGGGGATTCTACGCACGACCCATCTCTTTGTACACTGTTGTGTCCAAGGTCTATTTCTGATATTTCACCAGTAAAAAAAACTTGATGTGAGTAGGGTGGTAAGCATTGGCTATCTCAATGAAGAGTTCTATGTCTTCTTTTTTGTGTGTCCCATAAACAGAAGATGTCGTCCACAATAAATCTTTTCAACACTGGCGGTTTCTCTTTGTTTTGCCATTTTCTTTTCCTGTGATTAGCAGCATCATAGGTAAACCAACGAGAGGCACTTTGGATGTTTTGATCCGAAATTTGAAAAACAAAAAAAACTAATCGCGAAGAATTTTTGCGTAAAATTTCACTTTGCGAGGTTGAAAACTTGAAGACATCGATGGAGAGAGAATATCAAAATAATGCTCACTGTTTGCCTTTCTATTTGTCTTCGATCCTT